TTTTAAATATGGGGATTGTACTTGGTACCCACTCTGCAGTGTCGTGCATCTCAAATGTTTAGAGTATGTTTTGTTTTTTGGGGAGATCACTGGCTATCATTTGGATTAGCTGTTCTACATGTCAATGTATTTGGCAGATCCCCAAAAGGCAGATGTTCTGCAGAAGTGGTTGCCGCTACTGCTTATAAACTTCTTCCCCCAGTTCCTGGCTGTCTTGAGTTCAGAGCAGATAAACTGGAATTCATTTGTTCAGTGCTACATTTTACTGGCCCCAAATCCTCTAGGTTCTGCTACAGTTTTCAGTGGGCTGTTTCTCAGCTCTCAAGCACCCAGGAGGGTGGCATTTGAAATCATGTTCGCAGATGGTTAGAGACCCTCAGATTATAATGGTGGAAGGGAAAATGGGGAAACCACAGAAACAATGGCTCGGAACTGCAAGACTTAGCCTTATCCACAACGTAGGTCTCTAGTTATTTTATATTAGAAACCTGATGATATATGTAAGAGGCTGATATCATGCATCCTGTCTCTGGGGCTTAGGAGAGAAAGTTCCTGCAAAATGATTGCAAATATCTACAGAGCTTTTGGTACAGTAACACTGCCATTTGTCTGCACAGTTGGGCCAGGCACAGGTAGGCCAGGGCATAGGAGAATGAGCTTAAGTACAACTGTGCATGCTAGTGAATTATAGCAGTTGAGAATGGATCTGTCTGAAATCAAAGCAATCCCTTGGCAAAAAGATTGGGACCCAACATTCTCAAAACTTTCCTCATTCCGGTTCAAACAGAGTTCCTGGTCTCATTGGACTATACAGTGGAGTGGAGATGTTTGGTTTTGTGGAAGGACGTCCACCTAGGTAGTGGTAAAAGAACTTTGTCTCTGCAGAGAATGTGAAAGCACATTAAGATAGTCTGGGGCTGTGAAAAGATATTAATTCAAACAGGGAGAACATGTATGTCTTCACCTTAGCCATTGACTATTCTTTGTGTTAGGTTACATCTGAAACCAATGGAGCGATTTGATCCTTGCCAAAATGAAAGCATTCGTAATGACTACACGTTGTTTTCCACTTTAAGGTCTTGCCAGCTCTGAGAATGGCATAATCGTTATGGTTGGCTGATATTGTCTTTTTTTTTCTTTTCAAAGACAGAATAATTTATGGTCACTCTTATAATGTATTCATTGAAGCATTAGCACAATTCTAACAAAAAGTTGTGACCGGTCATATATATTTTCCACTGTTTTAAATATGTAAAATTGGAATTTTTCACCATGATTTACAGTCAAATGAAGTGGACAGTTAATAGGTAATCACAACTGTCCTTCATTCCATAGTCCTTGAAAAGGGTAAAGCCAATAACTAGGAAACTTTCCAAGTACAACGATAAATCTCAGACATGAAATACAAAGACTGAGGAATAAAGCACTTCTTATCTCATGAGAGTATTATGTATTGATCTTTACATGGATATAACTGTCCGCACTGTCCATATACTAGGGCGTATTTCCATTTGCTGCATTGGTTTTTTTTGTAGGCTGAATAAAATCCAGACTGTGTTAATGTGTCTTGGGCATGGAATTATGAGCCGAAATCTATTATTTTAAAGTGCATTCAGAGTTTACTACCAGGTTGATTCCTAGAACTTCAAATATTCAACTCCAGGTATGGTGGATATCTTGCAGTGTGGTTTGGAATAAGAGTACGTTTGGGAGATTTATTTGGGTTTGACCCTTACTCAGCCATCGGTGGAGAAAGGAGGAGCAAGGCACAGTGGTGTTCGGTGGTCACTTGGTGATTAAAGAGCGTGTAAGAGATCTCAGATCTGCTTTATCCTCTGTCCAGTTTCAATTGGCTGTGCATAACAAGAGTTTCACAGTGCCCCATGCAGACTGTCAGGGAAGTTCAGCCCTTAAAGCAGTGGTCCCCAAACTTTTTACCTTGTACCCCCCATTGTCCCTGTCCGTGCACCCTCCACAAAGCCGGGAGCCGAGCCACAGCTCTGGGGGGGTGGGAGACACGGACAGGATAAGGGAGCCGAGGCTGGGGCCACAGCACAAATACTCCTTTCACCTCTTATGTCACCGCATCTAGCTTATTAAAGAAGTCAGACTTAGAAACAGATTTTTGGCTGCAGGTCTTGTGGATAAGTCATGAATGTATCACGGTATTTGTAGTAAAATGAGACCCTGAAACATAAACACTTATCAGAGGCCCAGTATGAGGCCTGAACTAAAGTAATGGTCAAGACTTTGCTAACATAAAGCAAAGTTAAGCTGTGAGCCAGAGGCAGGCCCTGCTCACAGAAGCTGGCAAGGAAAGGGCTGATGCTGCAAAAAGAGACATACCTAAAAGGTACGGGACACCAGATATCAGAACATTCGCATACTTCTATGTTCCACACAGATAACAAGGAACAAGCTGACCCATCCCAATGACAGGGCCAAAAGGGTAATATGATGAATAGAGTTGTTTTGTTCGAACCAACATGTACAAGGTGAGAGGCGGCACCTTACTATGTAGAGGGATTGTACCTTGCTACGTAGAGGGGTAGCACCTCAATATGTCAGGAGTGATGTGTAATCTGTTGTACCTGTGTATAAGAATGAATCCCTGAGTGGATGTCTTTGTGCAGCCGAAGGGGCAGTGGAAAGTCCCGCCACTGACTGAGCTGAGTCCATTGTCAGGAAGCACATATGTACTAGCTAGTAGCACCTTAGACTTCTATGCCAGGGAGTTGGAGACTGTGTTTCTCTTCGACAATAAACCTGGCCCGGGTGCCTTCGTACCTTACTAGAGTCTGTGGTCATTGGGGGTTCCCTCGGGGTCTGCTGTGTCAGCTATCTGCGTAGAGCTGGGGCAGCACGCAGAGGGAACACACGCACGCAGCCAATTGATATCAACATTGAACAGAGCAGAGCATCACACCAAAAGCGTCTGACAACAGTATTAAATGAGACAGCAGAGTAGGCAGGGCCTGAGTAAAATGGATTTCCTCTGCTTTGTGTCACACTACAATGAAGGCATTTTGTCTGATTTTTAGAATCTGTAGGAAAATGGAATGGGCAGTAACACACAGAGGACGGATAGGGGAGAACATGAATTCTAGCTGTGTTTTTAAGAATGGATTTGCCCTGATTTGGGTGCTTGTGTATGTTTGAACACGTCTCTGTCTATGCCTGCAAATGGTGTGAATCGCCTAAGCTCTGATTGATTAGCATCTGCACCTGTTGCTTGTGCCTGGGGACAGGATAACATCCCATTATGGGTCATGGGTGGCTTTCTAATGAATAAATAAATTAATAAATGAAACAGCACTTGTATGGCACAGATACTGCAACGTTGCTAGAGTTGCCTGGCAGCCAGTGAGAGATGTAAGAGATGCAGAGGGACCTGAATGAATGAATGGAATTCTTGGCATCCATTCAGCGTGGGAGATCATAAGTCTCCAGAGTTTTGTGGCTTATAATATAATATGTGGAAATATCCTATCTTTCAGAACTGGAAGAGACCCTGAAAGGTCATTGAGTCCAGCCCCCTGCCTTCATTAGCAGGACCAAGTACTGATTTTGCCTCAGATCCCTAAGTGGACCCCTCAAGGATTGAACTCACAACGCTGGGTTTAGCAGACTAATGCTCAAACCACTGAGCTATCCCCCCCAGCTTCTCAATGCAGACTCCACAGAGGAGACTGAAGACTGTTACCTTTATCAACCAACCTTGTAATCTCATTCAAAAAAGATATCAAGTTAGTTTGACAGGATCTATTTTTTATAAACCCATGTCGATTGGCATTAATTATATTACCCTCCTTTAGTTCTTTATTCATGAGTCCCATATCAGCTGCTCCATTATCTTGCCTGGGATCAATGTCAGATTGGCAGGCCTATAATTATCGAGGTCATACCATTTACCCTTTTAAAATATTGTCACAACATTAACTTTCTTCCAGTCTCCTCAAGCTTTTCTGGGTTCCAAGACTTTCTTCCTAACTTCAGCCATGTAGTGGTTGGCTTATGCCACGAAGCAGGAAATTTTCTATCCTCAGGAAGTTTACAGAGGTGAGGATTTTCAACCTTTCCATATATCAGTCACTCAATTGTTCCGAGGTATGGAAGAGGCGTGAGCACAGCATGTGATGTGAAGAGGATGTCCGTGGGAAATCAGTAGCAGTGAATATCCTGAGGAAAAGAATAGTGGCTTTTTCTGATGGGTTTTAACTTTTGATACATTGCTGAGTGCATTACACCCAACCTCAGATATATACACTTGGAATGGATTATACAGGTCAGGCAAGATAAGATGTTCTCCTCACCTTCTCTCCCTTCCCCCGCATGAAATGTTGCTAATTTGCACCTGAACGTTTCTGAAGATTTTTGAAAAGACCATTTAATTTCTCCCCACCTCACACTATTATTTTTCATTAGTGCTGTTAACTCTACACGTCTGAATTCTAGCCAGGTCTGGACTCAGAAATGCTAAAATACCCCAAGGAAGGCTAATCTCATGGTAGTTCAGGGCAGTTTAGAAACAGGAAGTCCTAGAAGTCTCATGAGGTAAGCCAGCTTGTGTGAAACTTTTTCAGCCAAATTATGAAAAATCAAGCTATTTAGAGAGGTCATATACAGTTTGTGTCAATCCCCAATTTGTGGCTGCTTATTCATTCTGAAACTAAGCTCCAAACCTTTGGAGAGTCACCCATACTTGGGAGGGGGGGACGACAACATACCTTCTGCTGAAAAGTACCACCAACATTACAACTGTTGGCCATACTGGTGATTTCATCTTTTTGTGGGTGTTGCACTAGTGTCAAGTGGTTGTAGGCAGGTGAATAATCAGCCCTAAGAGATGATGTATGTGGGTGGGGAGAAATGGCCATTTTAAAATCACCTTTCATCTTGACTTTCGGCCCTGACCTAACAGATGAGACAAACAGAGTTTTCCTAGTTGTAGTTTCTGATAATAGAATCATAGGGTCAGGTCCTCAGATGGCGTAATTTACATGAGGATCTGACCCATGATATAAATAGTAAAGACCTACAGCCCAATCTTATGACCACATCTCCTTGTTTTAGAATTGGATGTACAGAAGTAACATTGCTGCAATATCATTATGTACAGCATTGTGAGTAAAAGGTAGAGCCATACATTATATTGCTTTTGCATGAGAAACCCTCAGAACCATTTTTTCAGTCACATACCATCATTAATATTACTTAGCTCTGTGAGCCTTGTTTAAAAAAATCTGATTTTATTTTTCTTTCCTCCCACCAAAAATGTACATTCAACAAAGAATCAGACAAAGAAAAACCTACCCTCTTGCTTACCGCCATCAGAAGTTTTCTGGAGGAATCAGATGTATAGGAGGCTTTTACAACGTGCATCAAATGGCTCATTGCAGAATAGCAAGCTGCTCTGTACCATCCCAGCAGCTGGCAGAATGAGTCACTGCTTCTGGCCCTGTAGTCCGGACCTTGCGTGTCTGGGAAATAATGCCCAGTCACGTGTGATTGCAAGCTATTATTAAGGCTTTATTTGTGAAACCGGTGTAGATGAGGTCAAATGTCTTTCACTGTATTTTCATGCAGTACTTTCAGACAGTTTTCAATAGGATCCCATTATGCCCCTACTGTAAAGACACCTTACCTCCTCTACAAATTACCAGTTAATTACTGAACAATTTCTTACATTTGACTCTGCTTTTGAGTAAGACAGTGTGACTTTGAGCCAGAAGCAACATCGACTAAAGAACAAATGGGGAGTTTGATCTTTAAAGGAGAGTACAGGAGGTTCTAAACCAGATGTGTACAGCCAGAGAGCTTCTGTAGCTATCAAAAATGTGCCATCCAGAGCCTAAAATTATTAAGAGGTATAATGGTTTACCCGCCAGTCTCCAGACAATGGGAGTATTATATCATCCTCCCTTCCTTAAAATGTTTTCACTCTGTTATATATGACAAGATGGTAGAAAATGGGTTTATGTGTAACATTGACCCATTCAAAGATGCTTTGAGAATGACATGCCATGTGATATCTAGTCACACCTGTGCAGGACCAGATCTGAGGAAAAGGGCCTTGTCCAGTTGTCATTCTTCCACCAACTGCATGGTACATTAATGATGCTCGGAGGGCATGGAAACCCACTCTGGACCCACATGGTCTTTGTGAAGATGGCCCTGGCCTCGCTGAAGCCCCTGAGATTCCATTCAGTGTAAGGATCTGCTGGGCTTCAGATTTGAGCCTCCCGCTCATTCTGCCCCCTGAAAGAATCATGTCAGGAAACTCTGTAAGGGGAATTTCCAGATTTTGATGAGGGTCGTTCCTGCGTAGGTGAACGTGTGGCCCTACATACAGCCTGAGGCACAGATTTTCAAACAAGTGATAATTGCATACCCAGCTTGTCTGAGACTTTCCCCCAGAAACAAAGCCTTCTGGAAGTGGCTGATTCGCAAGCCTTTCATACAGTGTATAGACTCATAGAAATGTAAGGTTGAAAAGGACCTTGAGAGGTCACCCCCTCCATCCTCCTGTGATGAGAGAGGACAAAATAGACATAGACCATCCCTGACAGTTGTTTGTCTAACCTGTTCTTAAAATCCTCCAATGCCCAGGATTCCAACCGAACACCCTTGCCCACCCCCGCTCACGCCATCCCCCCTCCCTCTGCCACTCGCTCTTCTCACCCTCACTCACTCGCTCATTTTCACTGGGCTGGCTCAGGGGGTTGGGGTGCGGGTTCCAGGGTGGGGCCATAAATGAGGGATTCAGGGTGCAGGAGGAGGGTCTGGGTAGGGGGTTGGGGTGCAGGCAGGGGGGTGAGGGCTTCAGCTAGGGGTACATGCTCTGGTGTGGGGCTAGGGATGAGGGATTTGGGGTGCAGGAGGGGGCTTCAGGCTTCAGAGTGCAGGAAGGTGATCAGGGCTGGGGCAGGGGATTGGGGTGTGGGAGGGGGTGCAGGCTACAGGAGGTGCTTACCTCAGGCAGCTCCTGGGAGCAGCAGCATGTCCCACCTCTGGCTTCTACGTGGAGGCATGGCTGGGTGGCTCTGTGGGCTGCCCCATCCGCAGGCGCCACCCCTGCAGGTCCCATTGGCCGTGGTTCCCGGCCAATTGGATCTGTGGAGCTGGCGCATGGGGCGGAGGCAGCGCACGGAGCCCCCTGGCTGCCCCTATGCCTAGGAGCTGGAGGGGGGGACATGCTGCTGCTTCTGGGAGCTGGCGGAGCCACAGCAGGCAGGGAGCTTGTCTTAGCCTCACTGCACCATGGAATGGATTTTTAACGGCCCAGTCAGCAGTGCTAACCGGAGCCGCCAGAGTCCCTTTTCAACCGGGTGTTCCAATCGAAAATCGGATGCCTGGCAATTCTAATTGGACGTGGAGAACAATCCTCTTTATAACAGCCCTTACCATATTTGAAGACTGTTATCAGATCCCCCTTCAGTCTTCTTTTCTGGAGACTAAACATACCTAGTTTTTTAAATCTTTCCTCTTTCTAAACCTTTTATTATTTTTGTTGCTGTCTTCTGGACTGTCTTTAATTTTTCCACATCCTTCTTAGTGCGATGCCCAAAACTGGATACCATACTCCAGCTGAGGCCTCCCCAGTGCTGAGTAGAGTGGTAAAATTACCTCCCATGTCTTACACATGCAACGTTCCTGTTAATACAACCCAAACTTACAGTAGCCAACAATGTGATGCAGTTGCAAAAAAGACTTATATTCAATTTGTGGTCCACTATAACCCCCAGATCTTGTTCAACAGTATGCTTCCAAGCTATTTATTCCCCTTTTTGTAGCTGTGAATTTGATTCCTAAGAGGAGGTCTTTGCTCTTGTCTTTATGGAATATAATCTTGTTGATTTCAGACGAATTCTTCAATTTGTCAAGGTCATTTTGAATTCTAATCCTTTCCTCCAAAGTGCTTGTAACCTCTCCCATCTTAGTGTCACCTGCAAATTTTATAAGCATACTCTCCACTCAAGTATCCAAGTTATCAGTGAAAATGTTGAATAGTTCCAGACCCAGGACCACTGCAGGACTCCACTAGATATGTTCTTCCTTTTTGACAGTGAACCATTGATAACTACTCTTTCACTACAGTTATTCAACCAATAGTAATTTCCCTAGTTTCCTTATGAAAATGTCAAAAGCCTGACTAAAATCAAGATATATCACATCTACTGCTTCCCCACTATCCACTAGGTCAGTGAACCTGTCAAAGAAAGAAATTAGATTGATTTAGCATGATTTGGTCTCGACAAATCCATGTTGGCTTTTACTTACAACCATATTATCCTTTAGGTACATGCAAATCAATTGTTTGATAATTTGTTCCGGTATCTTTCTGGGTGTCAGAGTTAGGCTGACTGGTCTATAATTCCCCAGATCCTCTTTATTCCCCTCCACTGTTTTTGTTCTTCAGCCAGCAGTAAAAACATAGATAAAAAGGTATCCAGCTCCAGGTGGCTAATCAAAGATTTCCTCTGCAGTGATAGGAGACAGAGAATGGGAAATTTGCACTCATTCTGAGAGCAAACTGGGGTATTGTCCCAATGCCAACTTCCATTGCGACATCTACAAGAAATCAGTCAATTTATTGAGGCTAGCCTGAGGGCAGCAGGTGAGGAAAGTTAGCACTTTATAATAATAAAAAATTACTTAGCAAATGTATACAAACATCTATCTATTTAATTGGATCCCTCTGCCTACGTACCCTTTGGATGTCATTTTCCTTCTTAGTTTGTAAGGTCTTTGGAGTTGGGACTGTGTCTCTGTGTTTGTACAGACCCTAGCTTACTGGGGCCCATTTCTCGAGCTGGAGCACTGGGCTGTACTGGAATATAATAATGTAATTGTTTTATTTTAGGGGTTGGCCTTCTATCACTTTTAAAGAGTGAATATACTGGTAAGCAAACATAAGCGGACATAGACTTTATAGCACAGAGCAAGGACTGCAAATGCAATTATTTTAAACCACAAAAAGAACAGGAGTACTTGTGGCACCTTAGAGACTAACAAATTTATTAGAGCATAAGCTTTCGCTCTAATAAATTTGTTAGTCTCTAAGGTGCCACAAGTACTCCTGTTCTTTTTGCGGATACAGACTAACACGGCTGCTACTCTGAAACCTATTTTAAACCAGTGGTTCTCAAACTTTTTTTTTCCGTGGACCACTTGAAAATTGCTGAGGGGTTCAGCGGACCACTTAATGATCTTTCCAAATGTTGTTTGTACCATTGGCTAACTATTGTAAAGCACCTTTATCCAAAGTGCTATATAAAAAACCCTTAATAATAATTAACATTTTTGTTCTACAATTAAAAACACACAACTCAAATTTTAATATCATTAGTCTTACCTTTCTAATGCGATGGATGTGCCTGCTCTGCCTCGCTGCGGCAGCCCCCGAGCTGCGGCTGGGAAGGAGGGGGGTCTCTCACTCTCTCCCCCCACCGCAATAACCCCCGAGCTGGGGTTGGAAGGAGGCGGGTATCTCCCCCACAGCAGCCACAGAGCTGAGGCTGGGAAGAAGGGCCGTCTCTCTCCTTACCCAGAGTCCCAGAGAAAGTCTATGGAAGAGTGCAGAACTGAACCCAAGTCTTCTCTCTCTCAGATTGGCAGTTAATTGCTGCTCCATCTTTTCTCTCGGCTCTCTGGTACATACTTGTGAAGCTTTCCATTAAAGCCAACGAGAGTATTCACATGAGTCAAGTTTGCAGGATCAAATGAGTCCGAATTCCTATAAGCGTAAAAGTGCTGATATTTCCTCTCTTGCTTAAAAAAAAATAGAAAAGCATATTATGATAGTAGCCTTGCCTAGAAATACTGACTTACGGTACTTAACAAAATTACCTGCCAGTAAAAACTCTGCACAACTTCTATTTTGGTCAGTGAACATTGCTAAGGAGTAAATTAATTTGTGAGAAATTCATAGGTCAGCAGAAAGTACTCTTGGTGCTTCAGCTGTGTATCCTGGAAGGGTAGTTTTCAAATCACTAGAGTAAACTCAGCATTTTGTGCTTCTAGCAGGAGAAAAATGATACAGTACCTCTCCCTTAACCCGCTTCCCCCAATACTTCCTTGTGTGACTATGTAATTAATAGTAATTAACAATCTTTTATTTCTCACATCATTGTTTAAGTAATTGTCATTGTAATAATACCTTTTACACCAGTGAAACTCCATTGGATTTATTCCTGATTTACACTGGTGGATGAAGAGAAGAATCAGTATATAGCACCCTCCAGGTAAGGATTCTAACATACTTTACCAGTGTTAAATAATGTAGCCTGCCTCCCAACCTCCTTTTGAAGTAACTATTACCATTTTACAGATGAGGATACCGAGGAGGAGGAGAGGACCAAATTCTGCCTTGATTTACACCCTATATAACACCAGTGATCCAACAAAAATGCAATGGGAGTACATCAGGGCAAGATTTGTCCCTAAAGCCCAGATTTTTAAAGGTATTTAGGCATTGCTGTGCTCAGCATTGCAATTCTGAACTGATTTAGGAGCCTAAATCTCATTTTCAAAAGGGATTTAGGCACCTATGAGACAACATCTCATTGACAGTCAATGGGATTTAGACTAAGGGGCCGTCCATAAATTATGTAATGCACTGGAGATGGATGGATCCTTAAACTTGCATATTTGTTTTAGTGTTGCAAAGTGTTACAAGAGATGGCTGGGTCTTGAAAATCACCAAAAAATGTTATGTAATTTATGGACAGCTCGTAAGTGCCTAAGTCACTTCTGAATATGCGATTTAGGTTCCTAAATCAGTTCAGCATTGCAATGCTGAGCACAGCAATGCCTAAATACCTTTAAAAATCTTGGCCTAACTGACTTCCCTGAGAACACAGAGCTGATGGTTTGATCTCACTTACGATAGTGTAAATCAGAAGCAGTCCCATGAAGTCAATTCAGGTGCACAAGTGTAAAATTGGCATAAACCCAGAATTGGGCCTCCTGATTCCCAGACTTGTTCCTTAATCCTTCCTCTCTCAATGGTCATTACTCTGTTTTCTGTCATGGAGAGACTCAAACAATGCACTGATGAAATCTTCAGGTGTTCATCATCTCATCTGCAATGACAGCACTTCCTTCTCAACCTCTTCTTTGACTGGCCACAGATGTGCAATATGCCTCCTTCTGAATACCACTTCCTTTGGCTCATGCTCATGCCTGAGGTATATGAACAGTATTCTCCACCCTGAACTCGTTGTCAGCAACTGTTAATCTGGCATTAAAGAATATCCGATTGTGGGGATTATCTGTTATTTCCAAGAAGCCAAGTACGGGGTGCTCATGGAGAGGATAAAATGCATAGAAAATGGGGGATCCAGGAAGGAGTCCAATTAAAAATCTATGGTATGAATTTGTTTGCTGATGTAACTCCATTAAAGTCCCTTGGAGTTATATCAACAAGAAATTTGGCCCTATATCAGGAGTAAGCCTTTAATTAATAAGTTGATTAAAGGCTAAACTGTACAAACAGGATGAAGAACTGGTTTTAAAAAAAACAACAGATTTGTCTCTTCCTTCAAATTGGAACAAAAGGGGCTGAGTACAGCACTCTTTTGGCAGTGTCTGCAGTTGGGAGCCACAATACAGAACTTCCTAAGTCCTTCTCTGAGAACATCACCAGACTGCTGCCTTGCAGACCAGTAACAAGAAATAAGATGCAAGAGGTATCAATCTTCCACTTTGCAGAGATTTCTGATTCAAGTCAACCCAATGCCCCCTAGCACACTTGGAAGCCTTCTGAGAACTGAAATGAGATCTTAAAAAAATAAACAGATGTTCAGTGTTCTCAGTGTGAGGAGGTCATTAGTGAGCACTGGAATATACCATTCTAGAGTCCAGCACCAGCAAGATGCTCTATACCTTCTGCAAAATTTGAGTGCCCTCAATTCCCATTAGAATTACTTTCACAGAATCAGATCTTAAATTGGCCGTAATTTAAGATGTCAGAACAGAAGTTCTGCACCCCATTATAGTGATTCCATGGACTTGAGAAATTCCATCACCCCTGGAATTGCAAAAATAATTCTAGATTATTATTTATATTGTGCCATAAATGTATAGGATGCTTTACACACCTAGAATAAGTCAGACACTCTGGAAGGGAGCTGTCATTCATGAATTTTGGGTAGAAATTGTAAAATAAAAATAAAAGTTACCATAAAAAGCCCGCTGTCCTTTTAAGTATCAGATAACAGATCTATCCTGCCCTCTGTATTTTAAATGATACTTCTGAAATGCAAAGTGCCTCCAGCCTAAATAGAATGTAGAGAAAAACTGCCCTAATATGCTCTAAAAAAGGAATTAAATTAACAAACTGGAAGAGTAAAACTCAACCATCTGGTGCCGAATGGTTGATTCAATGTCAAACTCAGAAGCATATGAAAGAGTGACGTACAGTACAGACTACAGAACAGGGCAGATATTTTTGGTGACATCTGGATGCTTTTTATCAACTATACAAACAAGAATTCTGGGAACAACAAACTGTTAGTAATAAGCACTTAGAATATCTACAAAAACAGAAAAATTAAAGCATAGAATTTGGCTAATAAGGATGTATATTTCTTTCTGGAAAGTGGGCCCCTTTAGCCAGATATAATAGACATTTTTATATGCTGCACTGTGATTTACAACCTGCCCCACACCAGTTCTCTTCTGTACTGGTTGCATTCACTATATGCTTGATTATAATGGGCTTTGGATCAGGCCCTGTCTGAGCTCCAACCACTTGCCACCTTTAAGCCCCCCAGTAGAATGAGGTTTTCAGGTAGCTTATTTCTGCTGTGCCTACTTCTAATGGATTTCCTGCTATGGCAGAAATATGCAACATATTGGCTAGGTGTATCATATCTTCCTAGAGGGGCTGGTCCACCCAGATGATAAGAGACTACCATTATCAAATAATGGATTATTTAGTGGTAGAGACTGTGATTGGTGGTGAAGGTCCCAAATTCTAGGTGTGCTGATGACTTTAGAAAGTGGTGGTCCTTACAGGGAATTGAACTCCTGTGGATCCTCTTATAGACCCTCTTCCTGCTCTCACCTCCATCTTTTACTCTGTTATTTCACTGGAAAATTTCTGTCTGCTCCTATTGACATAGCCTCTCTTAAGTGAATGTGAACCTAGTAAAGATTGAATTGAAGCCAAACTTTCAAACCCATGATTCCTGTGGGTTTGAAACAAGAACACAAGTTCACTCACCCCTACAGAGAGTCTCAAGTTTCCTAGTTTCCACAATATATCCTGGTGTGTCTCAGGCCTGAGACTGCAGAAATTAGTGAAGGAAAGGCAGCGTTGGATCCAATAGTTGCCAAGGGATGCCATCATGAGCAGGCAAGCTTTCCACTACAATAAAAATACACCAGGCATATATTTATAGGAATATAGATTCAGCATGACACTTAAGCATGACACATGCCAACTGTAAATACCAGAGTAGAAAAGGATTACGTGTGCTTGAAGTTAGGCACATGCTGAATTGGGCATATTTTGTTGCATACATGTCAATATTATACATACACACTGTGAAAACGACCTAGATATATAGGGGCAGATTGTTTATATAATTGAGGCATAGAGCCATGCCTAAATTATACATGCAATTACCACAATAAAATATGCAAATCAGGTAACTATGTGAGTACAAATGCATCTAACTGTCCATTTGCAAGTCCAATCGCCTGATTTGCACATGACAGCAAAATAATTGTGTTAATAAAGTCTATGAAAATCTGGCCCACAATGGATAAACTTACAATACAGTCACCCTAATGGTGGATCTATTTAATTCTCCAATTGCATGCTAAGAGGTGGTGCAGTATAAATATTTACATACTGCTAAGATACCTCATGTTATCGTGTACTCTTGTAACTCAAAGGAAAATGTAAAAGTGAAACATTATTGCATCAGGTTTGAAAAACTCAGTACTGAATTGTACAGAGGTCATATTTAAACTCTTCACAATTGCCATCTGTAGATATTGAATGTGACTGTGATATTAGTGGTAATACAGTGGTAATGTTAATAGCATTGTCATGACAAAATTGCAAAGATGTTATTGACACCTGCTCTAATAAATTTCTCCTTTCTTTCCCCAGCATTAAAACACTAGTTTTGTTTTCACTTTAAGCTTTTTTTTTCTCTTTCTCAATTGTACAATGCTTGAAGGCCATATTCCATGGGAGAATAATCCCAATACCTACTGACAAAGAATGTGGTTTCTATACTAATGTGTCACAAGGGAGTTCTCAGAGCGGGCTCCTTTATCTTTATTCAGATGTTGTCTCAGTTAGGTTCCTTTCTGAGTTTATAGAAAGGACTAGACATCTAATTCTCACTTTGACTTCACTCTGGGAAACACAATAGCGATAGTTTTCCTAAGTAATGCTATTTACCAAGTTTGCTGTGATGGGAGGATTTGAGGCTTATTGAACTCTAGAGTGGACGCTTTTCTTCTTGAGGTGATGACACGTCAGACTCCAGTGCATGCTTCTCACCTTGTCCAGGCCCAAATGTAGAACACAAGGTGAGACAGAGAGCCAAAATGAAGAACACAAAAATTATTCATGCAAGAAACTTAAAATACTCTGGGATTCATTCCTTTACAGTAAATAATTCTTTCTATGGGTTCAGGTAAGTGTGGGAGTAGAACCAGGGATACAAGAGAGGTATACTTGGAGTGGCTTCCCCTTAATAATTACTTGGGGCCTGATTCCAGGCTCATCCCAGTTTTACACCAATATAATTCCAATGACTTCAGTGAAGTTGCTCCTGATTTACACTGGTTTGTGGTAAGATCAGAGTTGGGGTCTTGGGCCCATTTAAATCACCTCATCCTCCTTATAGCTATCCCTGGG